GGCACCGGGACCCTGTCCCAGAGCTACCAGTACGAGGTGTGTCTGGCAGGAGGCTCTGAGACCAGTGAGTTCAAGTTCTTGAAACCAATTATCCCGGATATTCAGGCACAGGGCCCCAGGAGGAAGGGTGAAGAAAATTCCACCTTCCGAAATAGCTTTGGATTTAATATTCAGTAAAGTCTGTTTATAGTTTCATGTACTTTTGGTGTGTTATATAATCATATTGCGATTAGTTTACTTTTAAATCGGAAATTGAAGTTTTTATGCAACTTCAAGCATTATTTTAGAGTAGGATATCCCTGTGGCTTTACAATGTTTTATGATATTTTTCATTAACAAATGCTAGGTTTCATTTAATTAGTACTTGTTTCTAAATAATAGTGTTAAGATTTTAATTATTTCAAACTGCCTAAGCAATTAATTACTATCATATCTCATCATAAAAATCAGAGATTTCGATTTATTTCAGATCTTGCTCTTCATGACTCTAATGACTTCTGTCTACATAGTGTACTTGCTCTATTTAAGAAGGCATATGTACATTTTCAAACTTACTCTAATATTCTATATGCTCGTTTTTGAAAACCATGTCATTTATTTCTAAATCACAACGTTTAAAAAGAAATATTTCTCTGTTGCTATGCTTATGACACAATGAAACAAAGCATATTGTGAGCAATATTCAACATCAATAATAGCCATAGCTATACTTATTATCTTTTAAGCATGCTACTTTCACTTGGCCAATATTTTCTTATGTTATCTTTTCTGATGTATAAAACAAACTATGCCTTATAATTGAAACAAAATTATAAACTACATGAAAATGAATACAAATAAAAACATTTTGAAATTTGTGTTTGAGATTGTTGTAGATGTTCATTTTTTATGTTGCAAATTTAATTACCAAATTTTTAAAAATCAAGAGGACCTAAAGGTTGGAATAAAAAACAATAGTTTCATTAATTTTCATATTATCATATATTAAAAATATACTATGTATTACTAACATTTCATAGTTTTTGAATTAGCTCTTCCTCCAGTTTCTTACCACAGTGTGGTTTCTTCTTGAATTTATCTCAATATTTATAAATCATACATTTACAATACTGTATCTTGATACTGTTTTGTACTTGAATCATGTCTTTGTATAATAGAAAAGCATTTAGCTTTCTTATTTCCAAACTAGCAAACATATTCAAACATTGCAAATTATTTTTCTCCTATTCTCCCAATATAGATGTCACAGCTTCTTAGTTAAATTAGTAGTTAGTATCTACATTGTTAAATGCTTCAGAATATGCCTTTGTGTGCTGTACTATAATTACATTTCCTTTCTTCATTGTGAAGACATCTTTTTTGTTTGATTTGTTTTCATTTGCGGTGTAGTTTGACTGGGTATAAAATTCTAGATTAAAACTAATTTCCCTTCGGATGTTGAAAGCTGAAGCTTTCTTTTACTATTGTGTGTTGAGTTGCTCTTTAGAAGACTGACTCCATTTTGATGCCTACCTCTTTTTATGTGTCCTTCTCTCTTACCTCCTTCTCTGGAAGCATTGAAAAACTTTCTCCTGGTATTCTGAAAAGACCTTAATACAGGCATTTTATTTATGAATCTGGTCAGGCAGGCATACCCTGTTAACATACAGACTCTCACTGTAAGTTCTGAGAAATGTTTTAATGTTTTACTAATAATTTACCCATTGAGTTTTCTACATTCTCACTTTAACCAGAATCTCATTAAGTATTAGACCTCCTGGGTTGACTTTCTGAGATTCTAAATTATGTTATTTTTCTTCTTTCAGTCTCTTGTTCTACTTATTAAGCAATTTATTTAATTATCAAATATTCAGATTTAAGTTTTTCTTTTTGGGTAACAAATGTTTATTTTTAAGAGCACTTTTGGTTTTTCATAACATCCTATTATAAATTTGCAAATGTAAATCTTCTCTCACCTATAATTAAGCTATTTATTATTTAAAAATGCATTATAGGCCGGGTGTGGTAGCTTACGCCTGTAATCCCAGCACTTTGGGAGGCCGAGGTGGGTGGATCACGAGGTCAAGAGATGGAGACTATCCTTGCCAACACGGTGAAACCCCACCTCTACTAAAATACAAAATAATTAGCTGGGCGTGGTGGTGCGTGCCTGTAGTCCTAGCTACTGGGGAGGCTGAAGCAGGAGAGTTGCTTGAACCTGGGAGGCAGAGGTTGCAGTGAGCTGAGGTCACGCCACTGCACTACAGCCTGGCACCTGGTGATGAAGTGAGACTCTGTCTCAAAAAAAAAAAAAAAAAAAGCATTATGTAGTAAGAGTTATTATTGTACCCATTTTAAAATTCCAAGTGAGTCACAGGGAAATTAAGAATTTGCCTAAGTCTATACAGCTAGTAAGGGGCACATAAGCCTTAAGCTATTGTTTGTCTTCCAGGTATAAATATGTACTTGATATGGTTATTGTTAACATTAACTGGGTAAATACATGAGGTACTAGAATAATGAACTTAGAATAAGTCAGCTCTTAAGTTAGCTCTTATTACATTCTATTTCTCTGGGGATATTAATCAGACATTTTTTAAGCCTGTCTTTTGTTTTCTGAATTATACCTATTCCCTCCTGTTGCTCTGTGTGTGTGGCAGTAGTATTAGTTTTGGTCTTTCTATTTCCTGTTGTAAGCATTTTCTCAAATGTCTTATGATCTTTGGCTATCTTGTTATATATATGAATGATGACATAGAAAATGCTGACAGTCAACCCTTCATGATTGTTGATGACAGGGCTTCACTTTAATGTAACCATGCTAGGATAGAGCTACTACCTTAGGAAACCCCCACATATCAGTAGATGTAAGTCTTTATCTGCACCTTTCATATTCCCCGGGATAGAATTCTACAATACTCAATGTTTAAGGGTTCGATAGAAAAGAGGTCAGACATATATCTTCTGTTCTACAACCTGAGAGTATCATGGGCTAGAAGTCTCACTATTCAGAATTCAATGTTTTGCCTAATCTCCTTATCTTTAGTTTCATACCTCATACTTTCACTCATCTCTGCCTGGGATCTCCAAGACTGGAGATAGTATAATTTCTCCAGAATATAATCTAATTTCTCCTGAGTATAAGCTTTCCATTCTCTGGCTCTCAGTTATTTTCTTGTCTTTGTAGGATGGTGAAAAGCCCAGAGAATTCAACTATCCTATATATATACTTTTAACTAATAACTTCTTTTTAAAGTCCTTACCTAACTTCAGCCTTCTTATATACCTGGTTCCTCCAAGTCTAGTACCTACTAGGATTATGTGGGGGAAACCCAGTAGTTTATTTTTAGTATTTCCAAGGCAGGAAATTTATTTTAGACATTTCCTGGAACTGTTGTCAATTGCTCTTTCAACTGCTTTCTATCATCAGATAATTTCTGTATTCACTTATGTATTCTTAGCCTTGGTGAGTGCATACTTTTTTATTACTTTTCTGTCATTTTAGAGGGGCTTTAAGGACAAAGGAGAATTGTATAGTCAATCCACATACTATTCAAGTTCTCCTCTTCTGAACTGATAATTTTTCAGCTATGTATCTAGTTCACATTTTTATGAATGTAATTCGAATTTATCATTTTAAAAATGCAGACTTCTTAGATGTCCTCCATTCTTGAGAGTACTTTGAGATGTTTAATAAGGAACAACATTGGTAGGTTCCAACTATCCTATTCCAGCCTATTCCAGCTATCTACTTCATTATGTAGCAGCCATGCACTTTGGCTAGGACTGAAACCACCTCAGGTTTGAAGGGTTATCTCTGACTGGAATAAAACAAAGGGCTAAAGATGGAGTCTTTAGATTCTGGGACTATAATCTCTACCTTTAATCCTATATGTACTGAGACACTGATTTCTTCAGCAACAGGCTGAAGTGCTCTTAGTTGGTCTAATCAGAATGAGGGCTAAGATTTTGTTTATTATTGAGGAAGAAAATCTCTCTCATTTTCTCTTCTTAAGCTGAAAAAGAAAGCAGGTAACCATAGTTGTTTCTAGAATAAATCTTGGGAAACTGAGGGAGGCCAGTCTTATGAATAAACCTGCTTTAAATGAAACTAATATGCTTGTGCTTGTGTATTTAGTATTTTTTGAGAAGCTGGAACTCAAGAATTATCATAATATGTTCTACTCCCCATGTCTTACTTTACTTTCTAGCAGTTCACAATTCCTTGCTACCAAGGAAATCTATATGAATGCCTTCTAGTGCTATCATAACTATCAAAGTATGCCCCATCTCATGGTTAATCCAGTTTCATATTCTCTGAAAGGGCTTCTAAAATGACCCATGTATACTTTGCCTTTTCCTTACGACCTAAGGAAGTCAAGTAGTAATGGAATTTTTTCAGCGTAATAATATTATTGTTGTTTCATGATTCCAATCTTCTCAGAGAGATTACAAACCACTGGGGCCAGGAATCACATCTTGTATTTCTGTATACACAATTAAGTGGGTTTGGTTGTGTGGAGAGTGGGGAAAGATAAATGCTTTAAGGTGAATACTAACAGCATATCAAACTAAAGAGAATATGAAACAATCATTAGAGAAGGTTTAATATATTTGTAATCACTTGAACACAATGAATAAAACAATATTTGTTTCTGGAGGATGTAAAAGAGAATGGAATTTAGGTGGCTTTCACCAAACTGTGAAAATCTATGGAGACACTTGGTGGCGCTGCAGGATAATATCGTGAAAAAAAGATCTACTGGATGGCGTTGTGGACACTGACATCCAGTGCACACAGAAAATCAGAAGACAGAACAAGCCTTCAAGAGGGTGACCTAAAAGTCATTCAATAGGGTTAAAATCCTTAGACGTCTGATGATTTTGTGAACAGGTCAAACGCATTCCCCGGAACTAAAGCCATTCTGCAAGAAGCTTACAGGAGAGGAGCTATGGAGAACGGAGGAGTATGCACTCCGCAGATAAGGCAAGTCCTGCTTCTCTTTGTTTTGCTGGGAATGTCTCAGGCAGTCTCTGCAACTGGGAGCTTTTCTGTGGCAGAGGAAATGCAGAGCGGGAGTTTTGTAGGCAATCTAGCAAACGACCTAGGGCTGAAGGTGAGAGAACTGTCCTCGCGGGGGGCTCAGGTGGTCTCTAAGGATAAGAAACAGAGTTTACAGCTGGACATAAACAATGGGGATTTGCTCTTAAGTGAAACCCTAGACCGGGAGGAGCTCTGCGGTTCCACCGAGCCTTGTGTACTATATTTCCAGGTGTTAATGAAAAACCCCACTCAGTTTTTACAAATTGAGCTCCAGGTCAGGGATATAAATGATCACTCTCCCGTCTTCTTGGAAAAAGAAATGCTCCTAGAAATCCCAGAGAACAGTCCTGTTGGTGCTGTGTTCTTGCTTGAAAGTGCAAAGGATTTAGATGTAGGAATCAATGCTGTAAAAAGCTACACAATAAGCCCCAACTCTCATTTTCACATTAAAATGAGAGTCAATCCAGACAATAGAAAATACCCCGAGTTAGTCCTGGACAAGGCGCTGGATTATGAAGAGCAATCGGAGCTCAGTTTCATCCTCACTGCTCTGGATGGCGGGTCCCCTCCCAGGTCTGGAACTGCCTTGGTCAGGGTGGAGGTTGTGGACGTTAATGACAACACCCCTGAGTTTGAGCAGGCTTTTTATGAGGTGGAGATTCTAGAGAATAGCATCCTTGGCTCCCTGGTTGTGACCGTCTCAGCCTGGGATTTAGACTCTGGAACAAATGGTGAACTATCCTATACATTTTCCCATGCCTCAGAAGATATTCACAAGACATTTGAAATTCATCAAAAGTCTGGAGAAATTACTTTAACAGCACCTTTGGATTTTGAATCAATTGAGTCATACTCAATGATCATTCAAGCCACAGATGGGGGAGGACTTTTTGGAAAATCTACAGTCAGAATTCAGGTGATGGATGTAAATGACAATGCTCCTGAAATCACTGTGTCATCACTTACCAGTCCAATCCCAGAAAATACGCCGGAGACCGTGGTTATGGTTTTTAGTATCCAAGATATAGACTCTGGAGAAAACGGAAGAATTGTTTGTTCCATCCCGGAAGATCTTCCATTCGTGCTAAAATCTTCAATTGAGAATTACTACACGTTGGAAACAGAAAGACCACTGGACAGAGAGAGCAGAGCCGAGTACAACATCACCATCACCGCCACTGACTTGGGGACCCCCAGGTTGAAAACCGAGTACAACATAACCGTGCGGGTCTCTGACGTCAATGACAACGCCCCCGCCTTCACCCAGACCTCCTACACCCTGTTTGTTCCCGAGAACAACAGCCCCGCCCTGCACATCGGCAGCGTCAGCGCCACAGACAGAGACTCAGGCACCAACGCCCAGGTCACCTACTCGCTGCTGCCGCCCCAGGACACGCACGTGCCCCTGGCCTCCCTGGTCTCCATCAACGCGGACAACGGACACCTGTTCGCCCTCCGGTCGCTGGACTACGAGGCCCTGCAGGCGTTCGAGTTCCGCGTGGGCGCCACAGACCGCGGCTCCCCGGCGCTGAGCGGCGAGGCGCTGGTGCGCGTGCTGGTGCTGGACGCCAACGACAACTCGCCCTTCGTGCTGTACCCGCTGCAGAACGGCTCCGCGCCCTGCACCGAGCTGGTGCCCCGGGCGGCCGAGCCGGGCTACCTGGTGACCAAGGTGGTGGCGGTGGACGGCGACTCGGGCCAGAACGCCTGGCTGTCGTTCCAGCTGCTCAAGGCCACGGAGCCCGGGCTGTTCGGCGTGTGGGCGCACAATGGCGAGGTGCGCACCGCCAGGCTGCTGAGCGAGCGCGACGCGGCCAAGCACAGGCTGGTGGTGCTGGTCAAGGACAATGGCAAGCCTCCGCGCTCGGCCACCGCCACGCTGCACGTGCTCCTGGTGGACGGCTTCTCCCAGCCCTACCTGCCGCTCCCCGAGGCGGCCCCGGCCCCGGCCCAGGCCGACTCGCTCACGGTCTACCTGGTGGTGGCGTTGGCCTCGGTGTCGTCGCTCTTCCTGTTCTCGGTGCTCCTGTTCGTAGTGGTGCGGCTGTGCAGGAGGAGCAGGGCGGCCTCGGTGGGTCGCTGCTCGGTGCCCGAGGGTCCCTTTCCAGGGCACCTGGTGGACGTGAGCGGCACCGGGACCCTGTCCCAGAGCTACCAGTACGAGGTGTGTCTGGCAGGAGGTTCTGGGACCACTGAGTTCAGGTTCCTAAAACCAGTTATCCCTCATATGCAGGCAAAGGGTCCTGGGAAGAATAGTGAAGAAAATCCCACCTTTCGAAATAGCTTTGAATTTAATTTTTAGTAAGAATGCTATTAACATTTTCATGTACTTTTTAAGTTTTACTTAACCGTATTAATATTATTTAGTTTTAAACTAGTTATGTTATGCAATACAATTAATTGTATTTTTAATTTTGTAATTAATTAATTTCTTTTTGAGACAGAGTTTTGCTCTGTCATCCAGACTGGTGTTCAGTGGCATGATCTTGCCTCACTGCAACCTCTGCCGCCTGGGCTCAAGCGATCAGCCCACCTCAGCCTCCTAGGTAGCTGGGACTACAGGCGTGTGCCACCATGACTGGCTAATTTTTGTATTTTTTGTAAAGCTCAAGCGATGCACCCCCTCGGCCTCCCAAAGTGCTGGGATGAGGTGGGTGAGCTACCGCGCCAGGCCTAGTTTCAGTTTTCAAGTATTGCATATTATTGTGAATAACATTGTCAATACTTTTTGTATTAATTAACAGATAGTATCCAATTAAAGAATGATTTTAAGGTTTTGATCCTTTTCAAGTGTACAATAATTTACTTATTATTTTTAGTTCTAGAAACTGCGTTCTTATTTTTCTCCTATGATTTTTGTTTTGTTTTTGTTCTTGTTTTTGTTTTTGAGAGAATGTTTTGCTCTTGTTGCCCAGGCTGGAGTGCAATGTCGCAATCTCGGCTCACTGCAATCTCCATCTCCTGGGTTCAAGTGATTTTCCTCCCTCAGCCTCCCAAGTAGCTGGGAATACAGGCGTGCCACCACACCCAGCTAATTTTGTATTTTTAGTAGAAATGGGGTTTCACTATGTTGGTCAGGCTGGTCTGTAACTCTTGACCTCAGTGATCTGCCTGCCTCGGCATCCCAAAAGGCTGGGATTATGGGTGGGAGCCATCACACGGAGCCTCTCCTAGTATTTTTCACCACCTGCATCCTATGATCCTAACCACCTGTGTATTGTACTTCCTTCATGGAAGAAGTCATATCTGCACTCCCAACCTTATTCTAACATTGTATTTATTAATTTTAAAAGCCCCATTGTTTAGTTCTAAATCATACATCATTTCATTATTAATGTGCTCACGGTAAATTAAATATGATTTTGTGATCAATATTAAATTTCATTAATATCTTTGTGCTTGTATTATTTTCTTAAATACACTACACTTACTTGGCTAATATTTTAATGCTTATGTATACAGATCATGTCTTATAATACAAAATGTAATAAACTGCATGAACATAAATAGAAATATTAAAACATTCTGAGAATCTGTGGGTAAGAATATTGGTGGACTGTTGGAAAAATATTCACTTTTCCTTTTATTTTGTAAATTCATTTCATTATTTTCAAATGTAAAAATCAGATGAACTAAAGGTTATAAAGAAAAACAAGGGTGGGCTCAGTGGCTTGACTGGATGGGGTAGCTCACACCTGTAATCCCAGCATTTTGAGAGGCTAAGGTGGGCGGATCACCTGAGGTCAGGAGTTCAAGACTAACCTGACCAACAGAGTGAAGCCCTGTCTCTACTAAAAAATATGAAAATTAACTGGGTGTGGTGGTATACCCCTGTAATCCCAGCTACTCAGGAGGCTGAGACAGGGGAATCACTTGAAACTGGGAGGCAGAGGTTGCAGTGAGCAAAGATCTTGCCATAGCACTCCAGGTAGGGTGACAGTGTGAGATTCCATCTCCTAAAAAGGAAGAAAGAAAAACAATATTCTCTTTAATTTCCAGTCTGCTTCTGTTGAGTGGCTTCCTCTAGAATTACCTCAATACTTCTAAATATATGTTTTTACTGTTATATCATGATATTCCATTTTATACTTTAATCATTTCTTGCTATGGATTTTTTTTTTTTTTTTTTTTGAGATGGAGTTTCGCTCTTGTTACCCAGGCTGGAGTGCAATGGCGCGATCTTGGCTCACCGCAACCTCCGCCTCCTGGGTTCAGGCAATTCTCCTGCCTCAGCCTCCTGAGTAGCTGGGATTACAGGCACACGCCACCATGCCCAGCTAATTTTTTGTATTTTTAGTAGAGACGGGGTTTCACCATGTTGACCAGGATGGTCTTGATCTCTTGACCTCGGGATCCACCCGCCTCGGCCTCCCAAAGTGCTGGGATTACAGGCTTGAGCCACCGCGCCCGGCCTTGCTATGGATTTTTTTAAAAAGGTTTTCTTTCCAACTAATATAAACTAATATAAACAATGCACATTCCCTTTCCCTTTCTCCTATTCTCCTAATAGAATTGTTACAGTTTGGTGTGTTGCTGTTGTTGTTTTGACAGAGTCTCACTCTGTCGCCCAGGCTGAAGTACAATGGCGTGGTCTTGGCTCACTGCAACCTCCACCTCCTGGATTCAAGTGATTCTCCTGCCTCAGCCTCCCGAGTAGCTGGGATTACAGGCGCCCACCACCACACCCTGCTAATTTTTGTATCTTTAGTAGAGGTGGGATTTCACCATGTTGGCCAGGCCAGTCTTGAACTCCTGACCCCAGATGATCCACCTGCTTTAGTCTCCCAAACTATTGAGATTACAGGCATGAGCCACCATGCCCAGCCTAGCTTTTTTTTTTTTTCTTTAAGTTAAACTAATAGTGTCCATATTGCTAAGGTTTTTTCAAAATACACATTAGTGTAGTGTGGTTCCATTTCCTTTCTTGAAAAACATTTTTCCTAGAGCTGAAAATTGTTTTGTACTTACATAATTTTCCATTTACTGCTATTAGTTTCCTTACATTCTCTCATTTGAATCTCTTTCTTCTCAAAATATACAAATACATCAGATACCTATTAATTATGCTTATTTCTTGGTGATCTTTCACCCAGATCTCTGCTTCATTTATAGTGATTGCGCTACAGGCTGTCACCCTAGGACTTTAAAAATATTTTCCTTGTTGGTCCTCTTTTACAAGATCCAACATATTCTTCTTTCTTAGTTTATTCTCCTATTTTGTTGATGCACATCTCTCAATACCTTCATTAAAATTGATACAGAGGAAGTAAAACTTTTTGAGAGCTTGCTGTGTTATTTTCTTTTTTCCCATTTAGCTAGTTTGATAGTTTGAGCATAACACTCTAGGTTGAAAATAATTTCCCCTCAGATTTCAAATGCACTGCTCCTTTACTGTTCAGAAGACTGATTCCATTCTGATTTCTATGTCTTTTTATGTGATCTCCCCCTTTTTTCTTTCTGCGAGCATTGAAAAAAAGTCTCCTGGTCTTCTGAAAATACCTTAGTACTGGTTCTTTATTTATTAATCTGGTCATATGGCTATGCCCTGTTCATGTTTTTTTAAGACAGTGTCTCAATGTGTCACCCAGGCTGGATGCAGTGGCTATTCACAGGCACAATCATAGCAATCCTGCAGCCCCCAGCTCCTCTGCCTCAGCTTTACAAGTACCTGGAATTACAGTGTGCTAGACCCCTTGGCTAATGTTCAGACTATCAGATTTATTTCTGAGAAATTTTGGTTGGGCATGGCGACTCATACCTGCAATATCAGCACTTTGAGAGGCTGAGGCAGGAGGATTATTTGAAGCTATGAGTTTGAGACCACCCTGGACAACATAGTGAGACCCTGTCTCCACACAAAAACAATTAAAAAAAAATTTCTTAGTATGTTTTACTTGTAATTTCTCCCATGAGTTTTCTGAATTCTTACTTCAATAAGAATCTCAGTCAAATATTAGACCTCCTAGGTTGACTCTATAAGACTCTAAGCCTTTTTTCCTTTCTTATTTTATCTTTGCCTCTCGTTCCATTTTTTGGACAATTTATTTAATCACTCAATCTTTTATATTTAAGTTTTTCTTTATGACTGACGAATATTTACTTTTAAGAGCTGTTTTTGGTTCTCTGAATGTTTTTCATGGTATCCTGTTAAGATTTATAAATGTAATATTTTCTTTCATTTATAATTAAGCTATTCTTTAAAAATGCATTATATAGTATCGTTATAATATATCCACTGTAAAAGTGAAAGTGAGTCTAAGGGGAGTTAAGAACTTGTCCAAGACAATACAGCTAGTAAGGAGCACTTAAGTCCTAACCTATTTTTCACCTTACACTAGGAATACATACTTCATACAGTTGCTATTTAGATTAAATGGATAAATGCATTATGAATTGCTTAGAACAATGAGTGGCATAGAGTAAATACTAAATAAGTATTAGCATTTATTAGATTTTCTTTCTCTGGGAATATTAATCAGACATTTTCAAAAGCTTTCTTCTGCTTTCTGTATTATTGTTCCTTTTCTTCATGGTGGTAGTGATGGTGGTAGTTTTGGTCTATGTTACGTTATAGGCATTTCCTCAAATGCCTTGGCTATCTTCTCATATTTTAGAAGGATGATATATCAAAATGCTGACAATCAACTCTGAGTGAACAGTACCTGTTGATGGCAGGGTTTCATTCTAATATAAGCATGCTAGGATATGGCTATTACCTTAGGAGACCCCAAATATCAATTGTGTCTTTGTTTGGGACTTTCATATTCTCCAGGTTAGAATTCTAGAATATCCACTATGTGGGGTGGGCTGGGGGCCAGGTATATATCTTGTGTTCTACAATCTAAGAGTATTGCATGGAAAGGGACTAGAAGTCTCACCATGCAAAATGCAAAGGTTTGCTTACTCTTCCTATTTTCAGTTTGACACCTCACACTTGTGCTCAGCTCTATCTAGATCCCCAAAACTAGAGAAAGTCCATTAAATTTCTCCAGAGAATAAACCTTCCATTCTCTGACCGTGAGTTACATTTCTGTCTATGTAGGATGATGAGAAGAATAGAGAATTTAATTATCCTCTACACATACTTCCAACTAACAACTTTTTTCCATCCTTAACTGACTTCAGTCTTCTTATACATTTGGCTCCTCCAAATCTTGTACTTAGATGAGATTGTGTTTCTTGTGAGTATCTTCAATGCAGGAACTTCAGGGGCTATTTTTGAAACTGCTAACTTAATTGCTCTTCCACCTGCTTTCTGTCCTAGAAAAAATATGTGTGTTCACTTGCGCATTCTTAATCTTTGTTAGTTTCTACCATTTTAATTATTTTTCTGACACTTCAGTGCGTATTTTAAAAGAAGAGAGGTTAATTGTGTATAGTCAATCCATCTACTTTTCAACTTTTACCCTTCTATACCAATTACTGTTTCAACCACATATCCAGCTTAAGGACGTTATTTGAATTCAACATTTCATTTATTTATTGATTGATTGATTGATTTTTTGAGACGGAGTTTCGCTCTTGTTACCCAGGCTGGAGTGCAATGGCGCGATCTCGGCTCACCGCAACCTCCGCCTCCTGGGTTCAGGCAATTCTCCTGCCTCAGCCTCCTGAGTAGCTGGGATTACAGGCACGTGCCACCATGCCCAGCTAATTTTTTGTAGTTTTAGTAGAGACGGGGTTTCACCATGTTGACCAGGATAGTCTCTATCTCTTGACCTCGTGATCCACCCGCCTAGGCCTCCCAAAGTGCTGGGATTACAGGCTTGAGCCACCACGCCCGGCCCTGAATTGAACATTTTAAAATGCAGACTTGTTGGATCCTTCTTCCATCCATTCTTAGTGCACTTTAAGACCTTCTATAGTAAACATCACTGATGGGACCTTAGCATCTATTCTAAACAATCTCCCTCATTATGAACCAGCAATGTACTCTGGCTAGGACTGAAACTATCCCAAGCTTAAGAGGTGGTCCCAGACAGGATTAAAACAAAGTAAGGGACAGAAATGGGTCTTTAGATTCTAGGACTAAAATCTCTACCAATAATTCCACACCTCTTGAAACAATTATTCCTTCAGTGGCAGGCACATGATTTTACTTGGCCTAATCAGAGTGAAAGTTAGGTTTTAGGTTTTTGTTCTATGTTTAGGGATAGACCCTGACTCTCTTTTCCCGAGCCGAAAGAGAAAACAGTCACAGTTGTGGCTCCAATAAATTTTGGGAACCTGGGGGAAGCCAGCTTTAGGGGTAAGAGTCTGATTTAAATGAAACTAACTTGTTTATGCTTGTGTACTTATGAATTTTTTTTATAAATTATGAAAAACGGTAAATAAATGATAGGTCTACGTAACATGTTCTACCCCAATATCTTGCTTCATTTTCTACCAGTTCATAATTCACTGCTATTAAGGGAATCTACATAAATGCCTTTTTGTTCTGTCACAATGACCTAGATATGCCTTATCTCATCATTAATACAGTTTCATAACTTCAGAAAGGACTTCTGAGATGATCTTCCCTTTCCCTAACCACCTAAGGAAAGCCAAGTACTGATAAAATTTCATTCAGCTCAACAATCGGTTATAACCGGCTTGTTTCAGGCTTACAATCATCTCAGAAACACTACAAATTCCTGGGGGCCAGGAATCACATCTCGTATCTGTATTCACCACAACTGAGCATGTTTGGTTGTGAGGAGAGTGGGGAAAGACATTGAACAAATGCTTTAAAACAAATACAAACATCGTCACAAACTATAAAGATTATAAAATTATTATTATGGAAGATAGAATATATTTTTAATCACTTAAACAGAAGGATTTATTTAAACACAATATTTGCTTCTGAAAGATATTTATGAAAACAAAATTTAGGTAGTGTTCCTCAAACTGTGAAAATCTGTGGAGACGCATGGTGGCGCTGCAGGATAATACCAAGAAAAAAATTAACCCTGGATGACGTTGAAGACCCTGTTATCCAGTACAGGCAGAGAATTGGGAAGACAGAAAGAACAATCCTTTAAGGGACAACCTAGAAGCCATTCAACAGGGTTAAAATCCGTAGATTTCCGAGGACTTTGTGGACAGATGAGAGGTATAGTTCCCGGAACTACCAAGTGGCACTGAGGCAATTCTGCAAGAAGATTTTGGGGTTTTGGAAAAGAAGCTATGGAAAACGGAGGAGCAGGCACACTGCAGATAAGGCAAGTCCTGCTTTTCTTTGTTTTGCTGGGAATGTCTCAGGCGGGCTCTGAACCAGGGCGCTTTTTGGTGATGGAGGAAATGCAGAGTGGAAGCTTTGTAGGAAATTTGGCAAAGAACCTGGGACTGGAGGTGAGTGAGCTGTCTTCGCGTGGGGCTCGAGTGGTCTCTAATGATAACAAAGAGTGTTTGCAGCTAGACACACACACTGGGGATTTGCTCTTAAGTGAAACGCTAGACCGGGAGGAGCTCTGCGGTTCCACCGAGCCTTGTGTACTATATTTCCAGGTGTTAATGAAAAACCCCACTCAGTTTTTACAAATTGAGCTCCAGGTCAGGGATATAAATGATCACTCTCCCGTCTTCTTGGAAAAAGAAATGCTCCTAGAAATCCCAGAGAACAGTCCTGTTGGTGCTGTGTTCTTGCTTGAAAGTGCAAAGGATTTAGATGTAGGAATCAATGCTGTAAAAAGCTACACAATAAGCCCCAACTCTCATTTTCACATTAAAATGAGAGTCAATCCAGACAATAGAAAATACCCCGAGTTAGTCCTGGACAAGGCGCTGAATTATGAAGAGCAACTGGAGCTCAGTTTCATTCTCACTGCTTTGGATGGCGGGTCCCCTCCCAGGTCTGGAACTGCCTTGGTCAGGGTGGTGGTTGTGGACATTAATGACAACTCCCCTGAGTTTGAGCAGGCTTTTTATGAGGTGGAGATTCTAGAGAATAGCATCCTTGGCTCCCTGGTTGTGACCGTCTCAGCCTGGGATTTAGACTCTGGAACAAATGGTGAACTATCCTATACCTTTTCCCATGCCTCAGAAGATATTCACAAGACATTTGAAATTCATCAAAAGTCTGGAGAAATTACTTTAACAGCACCTTTGGATTTTGAATCAATTGAGTCATACTCAATGATCATTCAAGCCACAGATGGGGGAGGACTTTTTGGAAAATCTACAGTCAGAATTCAGGTGATGGATGTAAATGACAATGCTCCTGAAATCACTGTGTCATCACTTACCAGTCCAATCCCAGAAAATACGCCGGAGACCGTGGTTATGGTTTTTAGTATACGAGACAGAGACTCTGGGGACAACGGAAAGATGATGTGTTCTATCCCGGAAGACCTTCCATTTGTGCTAAAATCTTCCGTTAATAATTACTACACGTTGGAAACAGAGAGAACGCTGGACAGAGAAAGCAGAGCCGAGTACAACATCACCATCACCGCCACTGACTTGGGGACCCCCAGGTTGAAAACCGAGTACAATACAACCGTTCTGGTCTCTGACGTCAATGACAACGCCCCCGCCTTCACCCAAACGTCCTACACCCTGTTCGTCCGCGAGAACAACAGCCCCGCCCTGCACATCGGCAGCGTCAG